TCGCTTGAACCCGGGAGGTGAAGGTTGCGGTGAGCCGAGAGTGCGCCATTGCACTCCAGCCTGGGCAACAGAGAGAGACTCCATCTCAAATAAATAAATAAATAAATAAATAAAGCAAGAGAGAACAAAGAACAGACAGGACAATTAGAAATAAAACAGCAAGATGACAGACTCAAACAAAACCACAACAATAATCACATTAAATGTATATGATCTAAGCACCCACATTAAGAGAGAGAGACTGATTATGAGACTGGGTATAAAAAGCAACCTCCAACCATATGCCGCCAACAAGAAATGCACTTTAAATATAAAGATACAAATACATTTAACCCTTCAACAGATGGATTTAAATTCCATGGGTCTACTTACACATGGATTTTTCTCAATAAATATATGGAAAATTTTTTGGAGATTTGCAGCAATGTGAAAAAGCTTGCAGATGAACAGCACAGCCTGGAAATATTTTTTAAATTAAGAAAAAGGTATGCCACAGATACATAAAATATATGTAGATATTAGTATATGTTATAATTAACAACCATAAATACATGCAAATCTTTTACAAAAAGTTAAAATTTATTAAAACCTACACAAACGCAGACTGTACAGGGCATGATTTGTAGAGAGAAATGTAAACAAACGTAAAAGTGCAGTATTACATCATAACTGCATAAAAGCAGTTATATATAGTATGTACAACAATTTCATAGCTACTATAGTAAGCTCAAGTGTTGCAAGCATCCACATAAAACACCCTGTGATGCTAATCATCTCATGAGCAGTTCATCTCTCAGTAAACTGCATGTCACAGTAAAAAGCAATCTCTTGTGTTTTCACCTTATTTTTCATCAGGTTTAGTGCAATACTGTAAACCTTAATTAACACCATGGGACCCTATGAAGTACTTACTAGTGAGGCTAGAAGCACTCCCAAGAAGCAGAGAAAAGTCACAACATTAGACGTAAAAGTTTAATTTCTTAGTATGTACTGTAGATTGAGGTCTGCAGCTGCAGCTGCCTGCCATTTCAAGACAAATCCAGCATAAAGACAACTTACAAAATGTTTTCTTATGAAAAAAATAAGCAAATCGTGAAGCTGTTGCTACAGCTATGCCAGCAAGTGAGAAAATCTTGCACATTTTGTGAAATACAAAATATGTGTTATTCAACCATTTACATTGTCAATAAGCCTTCCAGTCAACAGTAAGCTATCAGTTATGTTTTTGGGGAGGCAAAATTTATACTTGGATTTTTTTTTTTTTTTTGAGACAGAGTCAAGTTCTTATTGCAAGGCTGGAATGCAGTGGTGCGATCTCAGCTAACTGCAACCTCTACCTCCTGGGTTCAAGCAATTCTCTTGCTTTAGCCTCCCAAGTTAGCTGACATTACAGGCACCTGCCACCATGCCTGGACATTTTGTATTTTTAGTAGAGATGGGATTTTACCATGTTGGCTAGGCTGATCTCTAACTTCTGACCTCAAATGATCCACCTGCCTCAGCCTCCCAAAGTGCTGGGATTACAGGCATGAGCTACTGTGCCTGGCCCATACTTGGATTTTTGACTACATAAAGTTGGTGCCCCTAATCTCCATGTGCTTCAAGGGTTAACTGTGGTTTAAAAGTAAAAGGATGAAAAAGAATATGCTAATACTAATCAAAAGAAAGCTCTAATGGTTATAATAATATCAAAATAGATGTGAAAGCAAAGAATATTAATAGAGATTTTAAAAGCTTGATAAAATTGATATACCTCTAACCAGGCTAATCAGAAAAAAAGAAAGCCCACAAATTTTCAATAGCAGGAATGAGACAACATCATTACAGATGCTAGATATTAAAATAAAGGGATATCTATAACTTTATGGCAATAAGTTAAAAAACTTTAATAAAACGAATAAATTCTTGAAACTCAGACTACCAAAGTTCACTCAAGTAAAAACAGATAAGCTACAGCTGTGTATCTATTCAAGAAATTAAGCCAGGTGCAGTGACATGCACCTGTAATCTCAGCTACTCAGTCTGAGGCAGGAAGACTGCTTGAGGCCAGGAATTCAAGGCTGTAGTGCACCATGACTGCACTTGTGAATAGCCACTGCAATCCAATCAGGACAACATAACAAGATGCCATCTCTAAATAAATAAATAATTTTGTTGTTGCTGTTGTTATTTGAGACAAAGTCTCACTCTCTCACCCAGGCTGGAGTGGCATGGTGTGATCTCGCTCACTTCAACTTCTGCCTTCTGGGGTCAAGTGATTCTCCTGCCTCAGCCTCCCAAAGAGCTGGGGTTGCAGGCACCCACCACCATACCCAGATAATTTTTGTATTTTTAGTAGAGATGGGGTTTCACCATGTTGATCAGGTTAGTCTCGAACTCCTCATCTCAAGTGATCTGCCCACCTCTGCCTCCCGAGGTGCTGGGATTACAGGTATGAGTCACTGCGCTTGGCCAATAAATAATTTTAAAATGAAAAAAACGGTAATAATAATTTTCTGGGCATGGTGGTACATAATTGTAATCCCAGCTACTTGGGAGGCTGAGACGAGAAGACTGCTTGAGCCCAGGAGTTCAAGACTAGCCACAGTGAGACCCCCATTTCAAGATAAAATTAAAATTAAAAAGAAATTGAAATTATAGATAAAAACTCTAGCCCCACAGGAAAAAAAAAATTTGAAAGTGCACACTGAGATGAATTTACCAGTAAATTCTCCACATTTAAAACATAAATAATTATAACTACATGGATAACTCTATAATTTTACTTTTCGAAAGATAAAGGGAGGGAATATCCCCAACTTACTGAATGAGGTCAACCTTACCCTGATACCAAAAACAGACAACGACATTACAAGAAAAGGAAACTACAGAATAATACGTCTTTTGAGTGGTGAAGGAAAAATTCTCAATGAAGTTATAACAAGCTGAATCCAACAACATATTAAAAGGATAATACATCTATAATATCATATACCTACATTATATTAATGTAGGACAACTTTGTTTTTTTCTTTGGGGACAGTCTTGCTCTATTCCCAGGATGGAGTGCAGTGGCTCGATCTCAGCTCACTGCAACCTCAACCTCCTGGGTTCAAGTAATTCTCCTGTTTTAGCCTCCCAAGTAGCTGGGATTACAGGCACCCGCCACCACGCCCAGCTATTATTTTGTATTTTTAGTAAAGACATGGTTTCATCATGTTGGCCAGGCTGGTCTTGAACTCCTGATCTCAAGTGACCTGCCCTCCTTGGCCTCCTAAAGTGCTAGCATTACAGGTGTGTGTCACTGCACCTGGCCAATAAATAATTTTTAAATGAAAAAATGGTAACAATAATTTTCTGGGCACGGTGGCACATGATTGTAATCCCAGCTACTTGGGAGGCCGAGGCAAGAGGACTGCTTGAGCCCAGGAGTTCAAAACTAGCTGGGCAACACAGTGAAACATCCATCTCAAGATAAAATTAAACAAAATAAAATTAAAAATAAATTGAAATTAGGCCAGGCGCGGTGGCTCACGCCTGTAATCCCAGCACTGTGGGAGGCCGAGGTGGGTGGATCACGAGGTCAAGAGATCGAGACCATCCCGGTCAACATGGTGAAACCCCGTCTCTACTAAAAATACAAAAAATTAGCTGGGCATGGTGGTGCGTGCCTGTAATCCCAGCGACTCGGGAGGCTGGGGCAGGAGAATTGCCTGAACCCGGGAGGCGGAGGTTGCGGTGAGCTGAGATCGCACCATTGCACTCCAGCCTGGGTAACAAGAGTGAAACTCCGTCTCAAAAAATAAATAAATAAATAAATAAACAAATAAATAAATAAATTGAAATTGTAGATAAAAATTCTACCTCCCCAAGAAAAAAAACAAAACTTTGAAAGTGCACAACGAGATGAATTCACTAGTGAATTATCCACATTTAAGAAAGAAATAATTGTAACTGCATGGATAACTGTATTATTTTACTTTTAGAAAAGATAAAGGGATGGAATATCCCCTGCCCCGCCCAACTCACTGAACAAGGTCAACCTTACCCTGATACCAAAACCAAAGACATTACAAGAAAAGGAAACTACAGAATAATATATCTTTTGAGTGGTGAGGCAAAAATTCTAAACGAAGTTAGAGCAAATTGAATCCAACAACATATAAAAAGGATAATACATCTATAATATCATATACTATATTATATTAACATATTAATATAAGACTGTTTTTTTGGAGACAGAGTCTCACTCTGTTGCCCAAGCTGAAGTGTAGTGGCGTGATCTTGGCCCACTGCAACCTCCATCTCCTGGGTTCAAGTGATTCTCCTGTTTTAGCCTCCTGAGTAGCTAGGATTACAGGCACCCACCAGCATGCCAAGATAGTTTTTTGTATTTTTAGTAGAGATGATATTTCACCATGTTGGCCAGGCTGGTCTCGAACTCCTGACCTAGAGTGATCCACCCACCTCAGCCTCCCAAAGTGCTGAGATTATAGGCATGAGCCACTGTGCCCGGCCAATGTAAGACATCTGTATTAGAATATATCTATATTCCTAGAAATGCTGGGTTTAACATTCAAAAATTAATCAATGTACTTCAGCATCACAAACTAAAATAAACAAACAAAAAAACCACAGATCATCTCAAGAGATGCAGAAAAAAAATTAACAAAACCCAATACCCATTCCTGATAAAACTCAACAAACAAGAAAGAGAAGAGAACTTTCTCCACCAAATTCAGAGCATCTATTAAAACCTATAGCTAACATCATACTTAATGGTAAGGGGAACAAACTGCTGATACACATAACAACACGGGTGAACCTCAATAATTATGCCGAGTGGAAAAAAACTAGACAAAAAACAGTATATGCTGAATGACTTCATTTATATAAAACTCTAGAAAATGCAAGCTAACACATAGGAACAGGAAGTGGACTGTGGTTGCTCGGGGATGAAGGGAAACAAGGAGGGAGAGGAGGTATAAGCAAGGGTCACAGGGGACCTTTTGGGGTCTTACCTTAAAGAAAGAATGAATAGCAGCTGTCGCTTCACTGCGAATCCTCAGTATAGATCCCAGAATGTTAGTCCTACACCTCAAGTGAGGATATTGTCTCAGGTATTCCAGAGGATGCCTTTCTTTGTATCTGATGGGGAAAGTCTGCCAATAAATGAAAAGAACAAATTAGAAGCCAAATGAGATACTGTTTAATAAAATCCATTTCCAGGGTATTTCTTAAATAGTGCTTTAGAACCAAACTAAGATGCTTTCCTTCTTTACTTCTTAATATACCTGATTTTTAATCCACATTATTTCCACCAGATAAGTGGAATGGCAGGATGGAATCAGAAAGATGTAGGTTTGAATCTAGCTCTACTACTTATTAGCCAAGTAACTGAGCTAGTAACACTGAAGCTCATCTGTTATTTATCGAGTTTGTAGCCAATCACTTCCTACAAATAGGTTAGGTTTAATTATGCAAAATATCCACTGGCACACAGGAGTTCAAAATATTGTAGATATTAAAGATGTACACACAAGGCTGGTGCTCAATTTTAAAATCACCTATATGTCTTGAAAGCCCACGATCATTCATAATCGATTGGTGTAATTTATTACTATTATCAACACTACTGGTGTCTAAAAACATGAGGGAGGGTAAGCAGCTTTCTTCCAGCTAGCAGAGTAGTGAAGATTTACACCAAATTTGAAAGAAAATTACGGCTCCAACTTGAAATATGTCTACCCTGCTCATATTCATGTGACAAGATTAAGACAGACATATCCTTTCAGATAAAAATCAAAGTTTTAATTAAAAAGATAACAGAAAAGCTAAAAAAAAGAGCTACATTGGCAGCCTGTTTCTTTCAGTTTCATCTATTTTTTGTAAGTCTTGTACACATACAAACTTTTACATTGTACAATAACAAGCACCATACTTAATAAAAATGAAAATGTGGCTGGCGTGTCGGTGACCTGGCCTGTGAGGAGCAGTGAGCAGAATGAATACCTTCCAAGACCAGAGTGGCAGCTCCAGGAATAAAGAACCCCTTTTGAGGTGTAGTGATGCACAGAGGGACTTGGAGCTTGCTATTGGTGGAGTTCTCCAGGCTGAGCAGCAAATTAAAGATAACTTGCGAGAGGTCAAAGCTCAGATTCACAGTTGCATAAACTGTCACCTGGAACGCCTTAGAAGCCGTGAGGTGTGGCTTTATGAACAGGTGGACCTCATCTATCAGCTTAAAGAGGAGACACTTCAGCAGCAAGCTCAGCAGCTGTACCGGTTATTGGGCCAGTTCAACTGTCTTACTCATCAACTGGAGTATACCCAAAACAAAGATCTAGCCAATCAAGTCTGTGTGTGCCTAGAGAGACTGGGCAGTTTAACCCTTAAGCCTGAAAATTCAACTGCCTGCTCTTTGAAGCTGACACAACTGCTCTGCACCAGACCATTACCACCTTTGGGTCTCTCAAAACCATTCAAATTTCTGAGCACTTGAGGGCTCATGCTAGTTCATCAAATATAGGGCCTTCCTGGAGAAGAGAGGCTATATCCCAATGCCAGAGCAGAAGCAAGCATCCAGTATTGCAACTGTCCCTCTCAGTGAATGGCACCTTGGAAGCAAGCCTGCCAGTGGTCATCAGGCTCCTTACATACTCAGCGCCAACCCCCAGGACTGGCTCACCCAAAAGCAGACCCTGGAGAATAGTCAGACTTCTTCCAGAGCCTGCAATTTCTTCATTAATGTCTGGGGAAGCCTAAAGGACTTAGAAAACTGGCTCCTCAAGAGTCAGCAACAGGAAGTTCCTGAAAAACCAAGTTATCAAAAGTGTAACAGCCATTCTACTACTAGTTCTTTCTCCACTGAAATGGAAAAGGTTGAAGATCTAGAGCTTCCTGATCAAGATAAGATGGACTTATCAGATTGGCTGGTGACTCCCCAGGAATCCCATAAGCTGGGGAAGCCTGAGAATGGCAGTCATGAAATCAGTGAGAAGTTTAAGCTCTTGTTCCAGTCCTACAATGTGAATGACTGGCTTGTCAAGACTGACTCCCGTACCAACTGTCAAGGAAACCAGCCCAAAGGTGTGGAGATTGAAAACCAGGGCAATCTGAAGTGCCTGAATGATCACTTGGAGGCCAAGAAACCATTGTCCACCCCCCAGGGTGGTTACAGAGGATTGGCTTGTCCAGAACCGTCACGACCCATGTAAGGTAGAGGAGGTGTGCAGAGCCAATGAGCCCTGCACAAGCTTTGCAGAGTGCATGTGTGATGAGAATTGTGAGAAGGAGCCTCTGTATAAATGGTTTCTGAAGAAAGAAGAAAAGGATAAAAATGGGATACCCATGGAACCCAAACCTGAGCCTGAGAAGCATAAAGATCCCCTGAATACGTGGCTCTGTCCTTCTAGAAAAGAAGTAATAGAACAACCTAAAGCACCAAAGGCAATGGTTCCTTCTAGAATTGCTGATTCCTTCCAAGTCATAAAGAACAGCCCCTTGTCAGAGTGGCTTATCAGACCCCTATACAAAGAAGGAAGTGCCAAGGAAGTGCCTAGTACTGAAGACAGAGCTGGCAAACAAAAGCTTAAAAGCCCCATGTGCACTTTCTGGTGTCCCTTTAACACAGCAGACTGGGTCCTGCCAGGAAAGAAGATAGGCAACCTCAGCCAGTTATCCTCTGGAGAAGACAAGTGGCAGCTTCAAATGAAGGTCCAGAGGAAGTATTACTTAATACACCTCTACAGGAGGAACATAAGTTCCCCCCAGACCATTACAGCCTCCCTGCAGTTTGTGATCTCTTTGCCTGTATGCAGCTTAAAGTTGATAAAGACAAGTGGTTATATTGAACTCCTCTACAGATGTGAAGACAAGAGCAGAGCTGCCTTTCTGCCAACTATCACACATCATGAGCTGAGTGACTACGGCTTGCCAATCATTGTTTCTGGGTCTGACCAGTTAGCTTAGTTCTTCTCTCACCTAATTTTGAACTAGTAAAGCAAAGCGAGTCATCAGATTTATGAGTTACTGTTTAAAAGAAAAATGCTGTTTATTGATGCTGAGGTGATACAGTTCCTTCCTTCTTACAGAAGTGTTAATTTACTCCCACATTAGAAATGCAGCATCTTTGTGGATACATCTTTTTCACAAGCCTCCAAGCCTCCTTAGATTGGGTCGTTACTAAAAGTACACGAAAATACTCACTCTAGTTTTAAAAATGAAATATTTCTGTAATCGATGTGTATTGATATATTCTAAAGCTAGTAAACTTCTCTAACGTTTAAGTGCCCTATAGATGCTTCTCTTGCTGTGGGTTTTCTTGTTAGTGGTCTGAAATAATGATTTCCCTGTTCTATTAATATACAGTGTATTTTGCACAAAAAATTAACCTGGCTAATAGTGATTACCAAAATATATATTAATAATCTTGGCAATTTTTGATATTACCAAACATTTTAGCCTACATGTTCTACATTACTATTCATTTGAAACTCAGCTACTGCAAATCTTTTTCTTTCTGTAAATGTTACTAAAGTATCCTGTGAGCTCTTTTAGAAGGGTTTGGTATTATTTCAAGACTATTTTTGAGGCAGTTCTAGCCTTTTAAAATATTTTACAGACCTACGGGGTTTAAAAGAACCCCAGTACCAACTAAGCAAATAGGCAAAGACATGCTGGAAATGTAGTATAGTGCTTGAACTATTCACTATATTGGTGCATCCTGTGTAAATGGAAGCTGAACTTGACACCTGGTGTTTTTAACTAGGGATTCAGTTGTCCTTCTCCTGTAAGCACAGCACACCTGTACCTCCAAAAGTGACGTTTTAGTGAACAGGCTGTTTTCAACACTTGTGCCTCAGGGTGTTCATTGAAGCTTTATGAAAACTACTGATGTTTTCTCAATCTCCTTAAAGTTATGTCCATGCTTTAAAATGTCTCTGTAGGAGAGATGTGGGGTTTATAATGTTTTTAAATTCTCTAAAGGTATCTTTGCTGCTTTCCAGACTTTAAACTATTAAGCTGCTTAACTGCCTATTATTGAAAATACTTCCGGGGAAACTTCATGGTCCCACAATGTCATTGCCATACAGCTTCACTAGAGTTCTTTGAACCACAGCTGGAAAGAGCTTTGTATTATTTTTTAATTCCCTCCTCAGATATCACTTAGAACTATTATAATAAAGTGGTGGGCAAAAACAACATAAGGAGCCTTTCAGTTATCTTAAGTTGCAGCTAACTCTGTAGTTTCTTTTTTGAGGCCAAATACACTGTATTTTACATTGTCAAAATATAATTTACATTAATCACTATGTTAATGATATGTAAAATATTCTTTTGCATTGATGAATTTTGTATCTGCCTCCATTAAAAGCATAACAGCCATTAAAAAAAAGTAAAAGTGAAAATGTAACCATATCATAATTCTAGCAGTCAGAATTCCCTATGTCGGAATATTTTAAAATGATACTGAACCTAAGAGGAGGGGAAGATGAAGGCATCAATGCCAAGAGAAGCTAAGGAAGAACAATTTAAGAATACAATAGTCCCCGGCTTATCCACAGGGGATATATTTCAAGACCGCCAGTGGATGCTTCCTTTATTTCCTTACATTTTTTCCTATTATACTGAAAGAATTAACAATGAATTAAAGTGATGCAATTTCCCTATATTTCCTCATTTTTGTTCATTAAATGTTTGAAGACAGGTATAGCAAAAACACAGAGGAATCAAATAGCTAGAATATAAATTTCAGTTGTGTCACATCAGCTCAGGCAAGTCATTTCATCTGGCTGGGCCTCATTTTCTCCACTATAAAAAATTTTATTAATAATCTTTTATTCTGGCCGGGGGCGGTGGCTCAAGCCTGTAATCCCAGCACTTCGGGAGGCCGAGGCGGGTGGATCACGAGGTCAAGAGATCGAGACCATCCTGGTCAACATGGTGAAACCCCGTCTCTACTAAAAAAATACAAAAAATTAGCTGGGCATGGTGGCACGTGCCTGTAATCCCAGCTACTAAGGAGGCTGAGGCAGGAGAATTGCCTGAACCTGGGAGGCGGAGGTTGCGGTGAGCCGAGATCGCACCATTGCACTCCAGCCTGGGTAACA